GGCTGGAAGAGGCACGGGGAGCAAACCGGGCAAACCGCCGTAAAACCAGTCATGGCAGAGCCTGACTGAGCCAGCTGAAACTGCTGCATCTTCCACCTGGAACACCACTAAAACAAACGTTTCTACAGCTCCTGCCGTTTTAACTCACAACCCAGTGAGCTTTAACAGCTGCAGATTGCTCTGCATAAGTAATTCTTTCATTTGAGGTCACTGGAAAATACAGCACAAAGGGGAGAAACAGGGAAAGCTGCAGTTCTATGGGACGCTGGAGTCTCAGTTCCACTTCCACCCATGGGCTACGGACAGAGCACTGCTTTAAACGGCCAAGTAGAGGGAAATCAAAGTGTTCCTGTATTTTAACCACTAGTTTACAGAAGCAGAGTTGAGGCCAGACACAATTATTTTATCAGGTATGATTTGGTTATATGATCCATTGATCAAGTCTGCTATCGATGAGCAAAGACTTGTAGAAGGAAAAATAAAACCTCTTCTGGGTCAAGTGACAGGGAAGACGCCCATGGGAAAAGGAAAAGAGAGCTTCAGGCAGTCTAAAGAGCAAAAGAGGAGGAGGTGGGAATTCTGCAGCTTGACTGGCAGGAGCAGGAAATCCTCTCCACGGAGAGGATAGAGACCAGTAGGACACACTGCCTTTTTTTTTTTTTAAAAAAAGTACACCCTGAAGAGCCCTGTTGTGACTATGGTAAGAAAGGCCCATTGGTACGGTCTTGTGTCTGACAAATGCTTCGAGAAAAGTAACACAAAGGTGTGAACAGAAGTATTTATTAAATAAATGGAACAAGAGAGGAAGTTCATCCACCCAAAAGAGCACAGGCACAAAAGTTGCTCACGTACACTGTAGAAGCAGAAAGCCATTATAGTCTTTGTTTGTTTGTTTTTAATTTTAAGATAACTGTGCTTATCTGTACACCACAGTGTGACCTGTTTCATGTTTTGCAGAAAACTTGCTCAATCAGGCGAGTGTGCAATTTCATAGTTATTACAATATATCCCCTTAATAAACAGCTGAAAGAAGCAATTTCTTTAAAAGATCACAAAGCAGGGCATGCTAGAGGAACACAAAGAACGCCTCTGAATTTCAACATTACCATACATAAATGGAACAAACTCAACCTATTCATCACAGTTGAAGAAGGGAAAAGAACTCAAGGGCAATTAACACTTTCACTAGGATTTAGCCATTTAAAACCAACAACTAATATGCAAAAATTCAAATGTCAAAGAAACAGGAGCTTGCTGGTTGTTGAGTTACTGAAACGTATTTCTAACTCATGTTTCCAAAGGGTACAAAGAACAAAATCTAGGAAACTGTTCAGGGTGCAGATTTAATTTTTATCTTCAAGGAATGCAGGTTTCTATTTCTATGCCTTTGACATGAAAGAACAATGTATATGGGAACACACAGTGCAAAATTAAGGTTTCAAGACCAAGTTTTAACTGTTTAAATGCTTCCTATGTAAAGGCTGTACACTTTGAAATTTGAAAAAGCACCACCAATTTATCACAATTCGTAAAAGGATAAAAGATGTAATCACTTTCCCCTCAGAGTTCTTAGCAAACTACTACTAGGAGAACTTGCCTCCTCCAGAATTGAGTGTAGGGTAACGTGCACAATCTGTTTTACTGTCAGCTTATGTTTCTCTCTCAGCACAGCAGTACTAGCTCTGCTATGATAACCTAACTGGATAAATCTGCGTATTTTACATTTTCATGTATTTTCCTCAGTGCCCGTTCTGTACACTATTAACCTCTGCTGCATGAAATATGTAATTTTCAGATTAAAAAATCTTATCTTCTACACCATGCCTCTGACTGCAATTGCTTAATGGCAAACCCTTGCTCCCCCAAATATTCCTCATTCTTGAAAGCTGAGTTGGTGATCTAAAATCTCACTTCATAATTGTAAATGGTGTGGGTAGGTAGAATGTAAGAGCATCTGGTTCATTAAGTTATCTGGTTAAGGAATATTCAGTATAAAAGAAGTAGGAAACAAAGGAACACAGACACACAAACACTGTGGGCAACCAGTAAGAGAGAATAATGAAGACCAGAAGGCTTCAGCCACTGACTGATGAGCCATTAAAGGAACTGCTCTGGTATAGCCTTGAGGAGAGTCAATCTGAACTTTGATCAATCAAGGGGGAAAATCATTATCTGAGAGGGCTTGCAGCACTGTGCAAAACTTTACATAAAAAAGGGACAGCAAAACTTACTACTTCAGCAGGGAGAGACAAGAATCAGGGTGAATCGGGCGGACCGAATGTAAGAAGAGGCAGAGGATGGGGCTGCTGGTCAGTACACTTGTCTAGTTGAGCACCTGTTCACAGCAGTCCATACTATCTTCTTATAAAGCATCTTCTTAATGTAAACTATACAGAAAAATGAAGACATCTACAAGATGTATTGCTTTAATACTGTAAATTCATAGATCAAAACCCAAAATCACTTAAGAAACCAACTTAAGAAATAATTGTCTTCTCGTTGCACACATCTAATGGAATTCTACTAAACTGAGATTCAGGACCCAATCTTTAATCATTACTACAGTCTGCACCACCAGTGACGGTATGATGAGTACATTACATTGAAAAAAAGTTTAATTGGCCACAGTCATTCTTATGTTGAAAAGAACCTGCTTCCATCCATAATTCGTACAGTCAGCAAATGGCACCAAATGTATGTAAAGGCTAAACATATTCAATGTTCATCTTTAAAAATTATAATGAGAAAGGTAAATTCTATGCAAAATCATGCAGGCTTTCCACATCATGGCTGGTATCAGCCAACCACGCTAAGCATTTAAATACTTTCAGTTAATGTTGGAGTGTGTATTTCCCCTGCCATTACTGAACTTCTGGTTTGTTACTGATTTCTCCTTTCAGTTACCGTTCTCTGTTTTTATCAGTTCTTTGATGATGTGTAAGACCTTGTCATCTAGGAAAGAAAACACAGTGAGTGGAAAAGAGCGAGCTCAGAAATTGATTCTCAAAACCCAAGAAAGTCAGAAGACAAGTCTAGCTCTCAGCAACTTAGAATCTTAACGTTTTAGGCTATGCCCGACTCTGAAGCAAGACAAGTGATTTGCGATTTGCAAATTCTGATTTTGTCATCAGAAAGTTTATAAAATTACTCAATGAGCTGCTTGTAGCCATTTCAGTATTTCACAAAAGAGACTAAATGATGGCTTAACGACAGACACATTACCATATGGGAACTCCCTTTCTTCCACCACACTTACAATACGATTTTGAGCATTTCAGTGTTCAAAGTTTAAATCGTGCTCCTCTATCTCTTACTTTGGGGGCCAACACACCGTTCCCCATCATTAACCTAAATTGTGAGACAAAGTGCCCTTGTACACTTAAAATTCACCTGTGCCTGAGGTTCACCACACACAATCTCCCCCTTGTTTTGAGACGCAAGCCTCACCATTACTACCACTACCTTGAATGTTGTTATCAGAGGTTATCTTTAAAACAGAAGTTGTGCAGATCTTCATACACCTCAGGTGAGCCACGTAATATACGTAGGATGAGTAATGACTTTCTGAATGTCTCTCAAGACAATGGAACGATCTTCAAGTCATACTAATCCTATTGGGTGAGGATGCAGTGTACTAATGCTTCCTCAGATTTTACACAAGGTCCATTTAACAAAGAGTAATGTCAGCAATGCAGTAATATAGTTACCTTCAAGTGACATTTTGGGATTTTCAAGCTTTTTCTTTAAAACAGACTCAATGAGAACTCTCAGCTGTTTGAAAATTACTGCTATCTTTACAGGAGCCTATAAAAAACAGAAGACAAACACCTGTATTACTCAAACATTTTATACCAAAATATAGATTAAAAGATTACCTTACATATAAATAGAAGTTTCTAACAAGATTTCTGCAAACATGACACATATAGATAATTTTAAGCATATGGATGGTGTACTCATTAAAAGACTGGGCTTACATTATGCCCTCTTATCTTCAGGCACCTGTTGTTTGTGCCATCACAGCCTAAAGAACAGCAGCTCAGAAGGGTAGCTCAGAACGGTAACTCTGTTTCCACACATACCATGAACAATCAGCATACGGTGAAATTATTAATTTACTGATATCCTACTTACTCTAATTGCTTTTTACCAAGGTATTAGAACCACAAAAGGTAGTTATCACTCCAACACACCTGAAAATGGATCCAGCCATCAACTGTCAGGAGACGCTCCCGATGCTGGACTTCTATATCCCCACCAAAAAGCAAAATGGGAAAGGGGGATATTAAAGTAGTCTCTCTCAAATACACTTTGGTGTACCTCACCTGCATATAAACAAACACAAGCATTAACAATATCAGAAAACCCCAAACCACATAAAACCTGTAAGATCAAATTTGATTGCTACTTTTAAATGCAAAAAATAACACTTTTTTTCCTTTTAAAAGCCAATTAAAACCAGTCATTGTACACAGAACAACCAATGGCAATTTGATTGCCCTACACTACATAAAATACATCACAGACAGGCTTACATGCTACCAGGAAATGAGCTGAAGCCACAATTTTCTTGTTAAAATTCAAATAAAGATGATGTTAGCTTAGTGCTGTTTAGAGAAGAGACATCAAAATTAATAAGCCTACTGAAGTAAAAGGCAGGTAAAACTATCTCATTACACATTCTTCTCAGCAGCAGCAGGTTTGTCAATCTATCTATATCCATAAATGCCCAGGCATACATGCATAAATGTGGGCACATGTGTAGACACATACACACAGTAAACTAAGGGGCTCAGCATATGCTACTTCTGGCTCTGGAGCCTCTCACAGACAAAGATGGAATGGGATGGGAAGGAGCTGTAGTGGGAAGAAAGGAAACCCTTCACACAGAATTGCAGGCTTTGTTTGTTCCACTGTTCATGGAATAACTTACCTACCTTAGCTGCTGTCTTGCCCTTACACTACAAGGTTCTTGGAGGCAGGAAGTATTTTCAGCTCTCCAAAAAATACTGCTACCAATGTCTAATGTAATTTCACACTTCTCTACAGTAAAGTTGGCCATTAAGCAACTGCTGCCAAGGTTTTGTGGTACCAGAACTGTAACTAAATATAAACACTTGAATATAGCAAACAGCTGACAAAATTTTCACTTGTGAGGGGGAAGAAAGTGACAGGAGAAAAAAAAATGCAATTCACTTAGGAAGTTCAACAGTCCATTACAGAATTGGCTATTTCATTTTAAGTTATTGCTAGGGATATGTGAGGCCTGTACCAAGTTTCAAAACTGTAGAGTCTGCTTAGAACAGTAAAAAAGAACCACACTTGGAAGTGTTTCTACTACTCACTACTGCTTAAAGTGATCACATTAAAATCAACAGCATTGTATTTAAAAAGTCAATAATACTATTGAGTTTAAGGACACACAGAAAGGTACTTCAATTTATAGCTACCAGCTTCACTATGAACAGATTTGCTCATGATGTTCAGCCTTAACTTCTTTGTCTTCAGCACTCAGTTGACTCATTTTTATTGTCTTTAGGATCACTAGATGATGAAGACTTTTAAGATATTTTTGTTATGGTTTAACCCCAGCTGGCAACTAAGCACCACACAGCTGCTCGTGAGTGCGGGGAGAGAGAATGGGAAAAGTAAAAGTGAGAAAAATCATGGGTTGAGATAAAGTCAGTTTAATAGGTAAAGCAAAAGCTGTGTACACGCAAGTAAAGCAAACCAAGGAATTTATTCACCACTTCCCATCAGCAGGCAGGTGTTTAGCTGTCTGCAGGAAAGCAGGGCTCCATCACGCACAACGGCTGCTGAGGAAGACAAACGCCATCGCTCTGAACATCCCCGCCTTTCTCCTCCTTCCCACAGCTTTATACACTGAGCATGACATCACATGGTATGGGATATCCCTTTGGTCAGTTGGGGTCAGCTGTCCCAGCTCTGTCCCCTCCGAACTTCTTGTGCACTCCCCGCCTCCTCGCTGGTGGGGTGGGGTGAGGAGCAGAAACGGCCCTGACTCTGTGTACTCACCACTCAGTAATAACGAAAACATCTCTGCACTATCAACAGTTTTCAGCACAAATCCAAAACACAGCCCCATACTAGCTACCACAAAGAAAATTAACTCTATGTCAGCCAAAACCAGCACAACTTTACACTGGTGTACATTATTTAACATTAGAGGCATAACTCCACCCTTACACAAACTACCAGCTACATTCACTATTTCCACTTACCTTCTCTTGGTAAAGGAGCCATCCATACGTCTGCAAGTCTCGATTTACAGAGGAGGGATGCACTTGTGCTTTACCCTGAGCAGTTTCTACCATGCAAGCCAGCTTCTCTGTAACATCCACAGACTTTGTATATATTATTTTTCCTATGTTGTCATACAGCCCTGCAGTCAACACAGCTTTAAGAAGTGCTATTTCATGAAGAGAAAGGGACTGTGTGGCTCCATTTCCATCCCATCCACATTGCGTTGTAGGTGCTGTGAACCCTGCTGCTCTGACTACCCTTATGAGCTCTTGCTTCACATCCTGAAATTAGTAAAGTATTAGTAAAACTTTAAAATCTTTAAAAAGGTACGTACTCCACTCCATCAGCGGGCAATGACACTCCAACCCAAATACTCATGCTCTCCAAGGGAAAAATCTTTTACTAGAAAAATATTTGTATTTCCTGCAACCACTTTGGAATACTGGCTGCTTCTATGAGCAAAACGTTATCTGGAATATAGGATTAGATATATGGTACTATATATACCGCAAATACTAAACCTCTCACCTGTAGTTAAAATAAAAAGATACATTTGCATCAAAGATCCACTGCTGCTTAGGAGAGCTCAGCCACTCAAATTAAATAGGAAACACCCATTAAAACATTTTCCCACCAAAAATAAAAGGCCATTTACATAAGTTTGTGGCTCATCTTTCCAACTAACTGTTAAACAGATCTGTTCTTCGATATAAAGAATGGTACAATCTAAGTATTTTAATTCCTAAGTTTTGATTCTCTGGTGGAAGTAAGGACTAGCTTCTCCAATGGCAGCGACTGCAAAGATGTGTAGCAACAAAATGTGTGTATCAAAACTCAAATGTAGGTACAGCTACCTCAGTTGAGGGTGCGCATTTCACTAGTGTTACACTTGTTTTTGTCTTGTCTGAACAGTAATTGTGATATATCACCTCTTTAAAAAGGGCGTGACATTTTCAGAGGGAAATTTTAATAAATAACTTTTGAGTGCAGAGCATAATTATTTGGTTTACCTCCAGAGTTAACAGTGAAGTCCTATTGAGGAAATTCCTTCTGCAGTAAGTCATTTCAGCACGATATCCCCCTTCTTGTCGAGCCCTTTTCCACCTAAGGAAGAAATCCCCTCTTATTACAGCAAAAAGAATCACATCAGGAATGTAACAATATTAAAGTGGTAATAAGTTAAAAGGCAATATTGTGTTTTGGTCAGCATTCTCCACTCAAAACTAGAATTAGGCAGCATAAATGAAAATGAATGCTGCTGGTCTAGAAGCATTCCAGAAAACATGCCTGTAACATAAATTTAACAGATACTAACAAAAATACAAGGTAATTTTCTCTCTCTCAAAAAAAAAAAAATCACACACTTCTGTCTATCTGGACAGTTGAAACAAAATTCTGGTGCAGTTTTTGAAACTTAGTGATAATATTCTAAAAAGAAAAACTATGTTTGTCATTTTATAATAGATACATTTGTACTTTCTTAAAGGTCAGCAAATCACAAACAGCAAACAAGTACTAGATAAACAGCAGGATAAAGAGACACAGTACACATCTGTATGTGAACAAGCATAGTTAAGAGCAGTTAAAGGATGAGATAATAAGCAAGCTATCCTTTTGTGTTACAGTATTTGGCAATCTGAAGAGAAAAACTTCAGGTGCAAGCAATTCAAGAGAAGATACTTACTAAGGATTCTTTACAGAACTGCATTAGTTAAGTTTTATCTGCATCTAGCTGAAAGTACAGGAGAATGATCATTTACCCCAGATAAGCGTTATAGATTGTTATATGGTCTGAAACGGCCATTGCTAGAGTTGATTTTGCAAGATCTGCTTCATCTTTTCGACCAATTGGTGTAGTAAATGGGGATTTTTCTGTCATAACAGCAGCCAGAGTCGCCTGCAATTAGTAAAGTACGCGTTGCTTAAGAGTATTTTATTATAAGTTTACAGGTTTATCATACAAATAGCTTTAAATTTGCTTTTACAGTAATACTTAATGATAGTTTACCTTCTGCCAAGCTTTAAGGAAAACATATCACCATACGAATTTCCTACATAGAATTCAGCACTTACTTATATTAAAGATATTGCTTACATAGTGCCATATATACACTGATAAAAAAATACTAAATCTCAAAATCCACATTAAGTGGTTTGTCAAATGACAGAGCAACACCAAATACAATACAGTGAAGGTCAGAAGAAACAACTTCTTTTGATTATACCACATTAACAGGAGATATTGAAAGTTAAAATTCTTTGTTCTCTCAGTTTTCAGCAACTACCATACCCATGCTTCCTTCTAATTTGCAGAAAATTAAATGGATTAGGTGAAAGTGTAAACTATGCAAAAATCTTCACATAATAAGTTACTACATCAATTAATTTTCAGTAACTGTACATCACCATGTTCTTGGCATACGAACTGTGAGGTAATCCAGACTGGTCTAAACCACATGTAAGAGGGCTTTTTCTCTAAGTGTCATACTCCCTGGGATCATTAACAGACAGAACTGCAGACCAAGCCCGACTGTCCCCTTTTGAATAGTATCCAGCAGCTTAGAATCATAGAATCATTTAGGTTGGAAAAGACTTTTAAGATCATTGAGTCCAACTGTAAAGAACATTTACATTGTTCCTCTCCATGATGTCCAGGTGCCCCCACTTTAAAATAAACATTTTAAGTTTTTGCATCAATCCTTTCAAAATACCATGTTGCAGAAATCCTGTTATTTGTAACAAATTAAGCATTCCTATATATTTTTTTAGAATTTTTTTTTTTTCCTTTACTTACCACAGGATCCAAGCAGCCAAATATAGCACCAAATATAAGCATTTTGCCAATCTTTACATTGACAGGAAGGGCTGCAAGGTGCTGGCCCAATGGAGTCAGCTTGGACTCATTTAACACACAAGCCCCAATCTTCCTCAATAGGTTCATTGCATTACCAATTACTTGCTGCTGGGGTGGGTCTAGTGCTCTGGAAAGAAAATCTTCAGGAGAGCCAAGATTGCACTTCTGTGGAGTAAACAGGCATATATTGCAAGATAAAAAATTATTGTAACAAGCTTTTATAGTAGTTACAAAGGAAAATGAAAAACTGTTCTTGCAATCAAAAGCCCACATTCCCTGCCCTCTAAACCAGTCTCTTTGTTCCCAGAAAGCGGATGCACCTCACACTAGGTTAACAAAACTTCATTGTCTGGAAGGACTTCATATGACACGACCACTGATCAGAGAAGCATATTACCAATGGTCACAGATGAGCAGGAGACTCTCAAACCTGATGAGATGCAGTTCAACCTGGCACTGATTTGGTAGGTTGTTAGTTTTCCCATGCATATCCTACTCACTCAGGATGGGGAGAGAGGGAATAGAATTGCTTCATTAAGCAGAAATCAGTTTGAAGGTTATTTAATCATCACTCTGAGGTAAACTGGAATAGTATAGTATGCTACTCTCACGCAGCAGCACACTTTAGATTTTCCAACACACAGTATCGAGTTCTCTCCTGCCCTGGTGGGAGAAGGCCCACTAACTACACTTCACTAGGGCTGTCCTAGCAAACGTTTTTAGCTAACAAGGTCAGTAATTCCAAAACCACACAATAGTGTCAAGGTGTAATTTCTCCAAAGGCACATGGAGTATTTTTAGCTAACAAGGTCAGCAATTCTAAAACCAAAACCATACCATAATATGAAGGCATAATTCCTCCAAAGGCACACGCAGTATTTCTGGAACAGAATATTCCATGAAACTTTCAAACCTGCAACATCATAAAAACACAGAATCACAGATATACAACTTAATCTTTCAATTCAACTTGTAAACTAAGGTTTCGCATGCTCATTCTTTGCAAGTGTTCTTTTGAGGGCAAGGTGGGGGAGTGGCACGTGTTTTAATACATGGGCAAACTGTTCAACTGAATTAAGGCATGTATGGTAGCCTGGAAAGCAACGGTTTTAGTGAAGGAGAGGGAAAGGCAGTAAGACCTCAATTTTCAAAATGAACTCTTGAAATGTGTAGGTCTCAAACTGGAAGTCTTGCATGTGTCTAAAATGCACACTTCATTAGTTATTTCAATATACTTTTAACTTAACTGTTTCTCAGTTGAAGCTTGCTTCAGACTTTCAGACAAACAAGAAAAAGGTTATTCCACTGCAGTAACAGAAACTAATTCTGCAGTACTGTATAATCTGGTGTTTTCCCCATCTCTTATCCGTAGAGACACCACTTCAGAATCATAGAATCATAGAATGGTTAGGGTTGGAAGGGACCTCAAAGATCATCTAGTTCCAACCCCCCTGCCATGGGCAAACATACGGATTTGTCTGACAAAAAATTCAAAGTTCAAGAGGTAAAGTTTGTATATATTTGATGGAGGGCGGTAGACGTTATAAAAACAAAATCATCTTCTACAATTCTATGGTACTGCACTTTTCCTTTAATAATGAACTTTTTTTTTCAAAATACTTAGATTATAGAGATATCAAGAATAAAATTATGTTCTTTTAAAAACTGTGAAACAAAAAGTCTATTACAACACTTACATGATATTTGAATTCTGGATTTTTTTACAGTTTAACCTTTCCAGCTTGCAGTAATTAAAGTGAATTTCAACAAGATTTCTCATTTTCGCCCAGGAAAAAAGGCAGAGATATTTACATGATTTACAAAATCTTGCCAACTAAGTTTACAGTACCTGTCTCTTGTGTACATTCGGAAGCAGAATCCATCCCTAACACGCCCAGCTCTTCCTTGTCGCTGCAGAGCACTAGCTCTACTGACAAATGTCTCTTCCAGGGAACTCATCTGACTACTTTCGTGATACCTTAAAAATGGTAAAGCAAGTGCGTATTTAGCTCTCAGAATTAAAATTTTGATGTATACTTAACTTACATACCAGCATATTGATAATATATCGAAATAGTATTTATTTGAAAATATTTTATTTACTTTTGAAAACAAAGCATACCTGCGGCAAATGTACATCATAGAACTCTGGATACAACTCACCAATGAAAGTGTAAAAATTGGAAAAAGAAAGAGTTATTGTGTTATTTCATCTTCCTGGCAATTCAGAACTGGTCTAACACACTCTGCAGGGCTTTTCACACTTAAAACGGACAAAAAAATAACTTCTAAAAACTGAGATAGTGTAAGAGAGATGTACTTTATTTTTGAACCAGTACTTAATCACGATTCTCCATATCTATGAACAACTCCCCTTGTTGTTCTCCACACCATTTGAAAATCCAAAGATTCATCCCAAACTTGTACCTAAACTGCAAATTGTTCAATGAGGTCAGCACATTTTTTGGTCCAGAACTGTAGTTTAATAAGGATACTACAAAATTCTTGCAGTACTAACCTCCAAATATTTACAGTAATCACAGTATGATTGATGAAAATCAAACTCTCACCTATTTTCTTTTGTTCTCCCAGTATCAATTACAAAGACGACGTCCGGTATTGTAATACCTGTCTCTGCTATATTGGTTGCCAAAACAATCTGAAAAGAATTAACATCACATAAATAACATAATTATGGAATGTCTGTCTAACACTTTTCATCCTTCTAATCAATATTATAGAATATGTTTGGTTCAATTTTTTTTACCCAAAAATGTTCCTTTAAATAAAGCATTAAAAGCTACAAGACTTGGTAAAGGGTTTAGTCTTCCCCAACTACTGAGGAATCAAAAGTTTCACATTCACTTTTTGTTTTATAATCCATCAAAATTACTGGCTAGTACCCGCCAAAATTGGTCAGCTTTCAATTAAGTAGTTCAGCATTAAGTAAAATACTATTTCCTAGATAAAGCTATAGTTACTGATTAACAATAGCTAAAACACAGGAAAGGTTAACAATTACAGAAGATCTTAGAAAAATACGAGGTTAAAATTTTTATATGATTACTGTCAAGGTTTTCACAACATGCTAGTTTCTATCTTTTACAGAGCATCAAATTAGAAGAATTGTTTCTTTGCAGTGAGAAAATTCCAGCAACAACTGGTTGTTGCATAATTCTGTATGACTTGATTTTAAAACAATTCAGAGTTGCACTCACGGAAAGTTTCTGCTTTCAGTGGTGAACTTTGCCTTTCTAAACATATCGTACCTTTCTAATACCAAGGGGAGGTATTGTAAATGCAGCTGCTTGATCTTGAGTTGAAAGAACAGAATGCAAAGCTATCAACCTGTGCCTAGAACAAGAAATTACACTAATCAATATACACTTATCAAATGAAGATACAGTAAAAAAATGAGACCATAATGATGACAACGGTTTGGAGAAAGCAACTAGAATGGACACTTAAAAGAGTAAAACTTTGCTATGATTAGGTGTGAAAGTTTGCTTCAGTGTTTTATCACAGTGTCAAGAAAAGATAACACCATTAGTTCATCAGGCTGTTCTTCTTTCTAGTAGTAACACAAGAAAAAAACTACTACTGTAGAATTCTAAATTTACATCAAGCAAAAGAGAGAACTAGGTGTCCATGAACCAGAGTTCTTCATATTGTGCTTCCAAGACAAAAGCTATTATGAACACTTGGCACGGAACTATAAACACATGCAACTTTCAGCCTGAGTAACAAAAGCCTTCAGATATGAGACAGCCACAGAGATTTGAAGTTTCATAGAATGGTTTGGGTTGGAAGGGGGCCTTAAATATCACCTGGTTCCAACTGCCCCGTCATGGCCAGGGACATCTTCCCCTAGATCAGGTCTCTCAAAGCCTCATCCAACCTGGTCTTGAACACTTCCAGGGATGGGGCATCCACAACTTCTCTGGACAATCTGTTCCAGTGCCTCACCACCCTCAGAGTGAAGAATTTCTCCCTTAGATCTAATCTGAATTTACCCTCTCTCAGTTTAAAGCCATTGCCCCTTATGCTATCACTTCTCTTGTAGACCTTGACACTCACTCCTTCTATGAATCTTTAGAATTTGACTGCAAATGTTCTTTTTATGCCAACACGTTGCTAACTTTTAGCTACCCACCAAATAAATTTCAAAACTATCTGTCACTACAACCATATGCCATTTCTTGTTAGATTACTGGATCTCTTCTCAGGAAGTAGTCCTTACTTCCATGTAAACAGTAAGCCAGAGAAAGTAATATTCCAGATATGGCAGCTTCCATACCCTGAGAAGTGGAAAAGAAGTACTCAAGTGCTTTGTGATTAAGTAAGTTTGCTGAAAAAAAAAATTAAAAAATTAAAAAAGTTATTACAGTAACAATCCTAAGCACCTGTCACTTTTGTATCATTTTTAGATAATAAAAGTACATTTGTCGCACAAACAGCCCAGAGGTATAACTCAGTTTCCTTTTTCGAGAATAGCAGACCTTAAAACCCAAACATATTTAACTTAATATTCATTAAGTTAAACTATTAACTGTATAGAAAACATCTGCATTACCTGTCACGTAAGTTAAATCTCCTGTCAGTTGAAATGAGATCATACAGCTGTTGGATATGGGCAAGGCCTGGTAAAAAGATCAGCACAGCACCCTCAATGTTCTTGAACTGGGGACTTCTATCTGGAAAGTTACAGTACAGGCACATAGTAAAAACAAACACGCACTTGCAAATAGTTTCACTTGAGAACAGGAACTAATTCTGGGCCCTGTGGTAAACGATTTTTAGAATGTTTAATGTAAGAATGAAGTCAAGTACTTCCCTATCAGTAGAAAGCACTGGAAAAATAAGTCCAAAGGACAGCCTCAACTATATAAAATTCTTAAGAAGTAGACTGTACCTAAGTATGCAAGCAATTCCAAAATAAGTTCAAGATTGATCTTGTAAGGGTTCATATAGAAGACAGCCTGCTGTGTACGACTGCTATACTTCGCATAGTAAGGCGCCAAATCGATACCAGATCCAGACTGGATTGGGACATACTCCTAAAATGGAAGAGCAGGAAAAAAATCATATTCTGTGGTTTTTGTTCATTTAAGTTCCTTAAAACAGAGATTGAGATAAGAGACATTTAATTGACTAACTTTCCACCAAAATCAGCAAGTGTGGGAGACAGAATTTCCTTGAGACCGTGGGACACAAAAATAGAAGTGTGTGAGAACTGTAAACAACGTGTAACAGAACAGATGTGCAGGGCACGGGATTGAGAAAAGTGTTCTTGGAAAAGCAGCCTTGGAAAGAAGAACAGAAAACGTTCTTATGGTAAACAAGGACTGGGACCAAATGCGGGAGGGGCGTTTGTCACATGTATGTAAGATTGCCAGCTTGGCTCAATAAACGATTTTGCCTGTGCTTTCACCTGGAGCACTCAGCAGGATCCGTGCCTTACTCCTCCACAAGCAAGTTACACTAAATCACAGTCAACTGCAGAGCCTGTGTATAGGAATCTACTAATGTTAAATGACATCCCATATAAAAAAAAAAAAAGTAAAAATTCAAGTCTGTGCAAGCAGTACTATACAGTCTGTTTTACAAATGAAAAAAGTTCCCAGGTCCATATCTGGCATCCAGTTTGTATCAACTCAAAATAGGATAATAGGGTGGCTACTATTCTTTCAAAACTCCTGGTCTGGGGTATACAAAAAACAGTCTTCTGTTTCTCCTCTGCCTCACCTCTCCCTTCTCAACTAACGGTTGCAATGAAAGCCAAGAGTGAATTAGGTGGCATCTCCTGCAGTGCTCTGGAGCAGGAGGAAAGTGGAAGGAAGGGAGAGTTAACAAAACATACAGACGTTTCAACTGTTCATAAACATCATACAGATACGTACTTAGCATAAGGATGCTATGTTAAGTGGGCATCATTGTCAGTTATTTCATTGGTAATCTACACACTTAAAGAAGCTTGCCATCACATACCCTTCTGTACTGAAGGTGCAACAGAAACAAACCACAAAGATAGAGGAGCACTCAGGAGAGCACTCGGGCTTCAACTAAAGAATGCTGTTGTGATGTAGGGTTTAAGTACAACTCTAGGGGGGAAAAAAATAAAAATAAAATCAGCAGAGCTCACGAGACCATATTTTTCAACATATGCATCAGTGTTCAGTCACACCAAGCTAAATGGTCCTGTGGAGATTTTGAGAGAGTAAGCCAGGACAGGTTATCTACCCAGAATATGTCCAGATGAACAGCCTAAGCTGCCTAAAAAATCAGATAGCATTCATATACTCTTCCCTTCAAGAATTTTGATCCAAAAGCACATACAGCTGCCACTGCAGAGTATCTACAGGATGGATTAACCACAGCCTGTTAAACCAAAAAGCTCTATACAATAATTTCGTGTAGATTATCTCATCTGGCATGCCAAGTTGGAGGATCTTAAAGAATTTTTCAGCTAAGAAGAATATGACCTTGCCTCTTCTGTTCTTTGGTTCACTACTTATGAGAATTCTTTGGGAGGAAAAACTTAAACGTCTTCCTCTGCTGCTGCTTAGATATCTAGAGCTAGGAATCTGTGCAAGAAAACTCCATGTCAAATATAGCAAAATCAAGGCAGCTATAAAGAAGTTGGAGAGACAAACATAACGGTGCAGCGTTAACAAATATTTGATTTCCACTGTAGGACTGCCATTGTGTCTGTCTTTTATCAACTGAAAGAGTATTTCATATCAGACACTCCAATCACATTTAATAAGAGGAACTAAAATCACAAAATAATAATTAAAAAAAAAAAAAATTCCAAGCCAAAACTAGAAATGCCTATTTTACCTGATACTTTGTAGTACCTCCTCCTTTGCTAGTAACATTTATTGTTACTTCCTCCTCCTCCTCCAAGAACTTCTGACAATATTCAGAGTCTTTCTCCAGAACATAGCCAGTTGCTTCAATTACATCTTCAACATGGAAAATCTTTAGTGAAAATTCACAGAAGAAATACAAGATATGTCAAAAACTAATCAGCACCTTTTTCATTTTTTGAAATTTATATACAAAGCTGAACAGGGCATGCCTTTCTCTTTTAATGTTGCAATAGATCTCGCAAATTTCAACTTAGTCTTTCTTATGATTTCTGAAAACCTAAACTTAAGAGCCACAATGAGTTTATCAATGGGCCTCTCCACATAATCGCTAACATTACCTTTACTATAGCCTACGTAACACGCAAGAGAAACACACATAAGAGTGTAACACCAAAGTTGCATGGGGGGTGTGGAGAATTCTTTAATGCTTGCCTTTCTACCTAGGTTGAATAGAGAAAAATCAAACTGTCACTGAAAGACTGATCTTAATCAATAGTAAATCCATCAGAAAAAATAGTACAATCCTGTATTTCAAAGCAGTAAAGCTATTTTATATTTGCAAAAAGGAAAAGGTTTACAAGTCCTTGAAACCCATGCTTAAGATACATATTTTCAGTATGAGAAAAGAGATATAGGTGTATTTCCTATAGACGATAACCAGGCCAACACTACACCTGCATACAAAGTGTCTTGTATAATCAAAGAAACATTTACCTACCTCAACAGGGTAACTCCTCCCTGAGATCCTTAAAATGGGGCAGTGTGAGAAATAGCTGGAAAACTTTTCACTGTCTACAGTAGCACTCATTAAAATGAGATGCAGGTCTGAACGCTTGTGCAGTATCTCCTTTAGAATAACCAGCAAGAAATCAGACTGGACACTTCTTTCATGTACCTAGAATTAGAAAAACATATCTATAGCAAGTCTTTATTACAAGTCAAGGCCTGAAATAACTATAGTTTCTGCAGAATAATAAGAGCTGATAACCTCATCTACAATAACATGAGATATACTTGAAAGAAGACCATCTTCTTGAAGTTTCCGAAGCAGGACACCTGTTGTACAGTACAGCAGTCTGGTGGCTTCTCCTGTTCTTGATTCCATACGAATCTGATACCCACACAGGGAATTCTTTAAAAAAAAACAAAACAAAACTATAGGAGTAACTTAAAATAGTACAAAGGCTAGAGATACTCAAAACGAAGTGAAATTTAAAGACTGTTAGATTTAGACACTGCACAAGTTGCTAATTAAAGAGTATGGTGAATGACTGCCACACAGTTTTTAATACACACACTTTCCTTTTCTTGTTAAGAAAGGGAAAATGCACTGAAGTTTACAACTAAGTTTCTCCACAGTAGCAAAGAGCTGGTAAACTCATTGTTCTTTACAAGGTTCCTCAGAGTCCCCAGACAAAAATACTTCTGCACAAAGACACTACTGTAAAATACACGGGACCTCGGTGTTCATCAAATAGCAGAGTAAGTTACGTTGGAAGAGGCCTCTCAAAGGCAGATTAGATTGCTCAGACCCTTATTCAGGGGAGTTTTCTCCACCCCTAATGACAGAGATGCCACAGTCTCCAGGCTATCTGCTCCAAAGTTTGACTATCCTCATTATGAAACACTCTTGCTCTTAATCACCTTCTAAAGATTTTAGAAATCATACATGGATATCCAGAGGTTCACAGGTGACAATTTGGAAAGAAACAGCTGACATACCAAGAAGTCCTTTTCAAGAGAAAGCAACATCTAACGATCTGGTTGTGTAAGAAATAATGTTTTCACTTTATACCAACAATTGAGCCCTCCTGTATCGGACAAAGACTAGAAAAAGGAATTCAGGCACATCTTACTTTTCCTCCTGGTCCTGATTCACAGCCTAGCTCTTCACAAACCCTGGTTGCCAGACTCACTGCTGAGATTCTTCGGGGTTGTGTGCAAACAATATTACATTTTTTTGATCCTTCATCCAGCAACAAGTCTTCTAACAAGAAATGAGGCACCTGGGTACTCTTCCCACTGCCTGTTTCACCAGCCACAACAACTACTCGATGTTTTTTAAGAGTTTCTACAATCGAGTATCTGTGCTTAAACACAGGTAACTCCTGTCTCTCTTTCAGAAGCTTCTGGTATCTGGAGGAACTCTGCAGCTTTTTGAACAAAATCCTTGAAGGTTCCAAATTATCTGTGTCTGAGGTCTCAAGCGAGAGACTGCTGAAGTCCTCATCAGAAACTAAGTTTTCCCAGGAATCTTCAGGACCCTCAGACACTTTTGGTTGGTTTTCGGATTGTAGCTGTTGCTGTTGTTTGAGTTTGTTTAATAATCGAGCAATAAAGTTATCACGAGGTTTGTTAGTTTCCATCTTGTTTTCTTCTTCCTTTTTCTTTTCAATATCCCTCCATTCAAGCCAGACATCTCGGTAGGTGGGAGGCAGTAACTGATGAACTGACTTCATGTGGAAAAAGCAGAAAAACATTACTTTATGTACTACTTAGCAGTAGTAACTGTATTTTTAAATACAGAAACTATGAAAACTGTAATATAAATGTTAACAGTACACTTTATTTTCAACTGGCTTGCATTCTTTACAATACTGAAAGAACAGTTTCTCTATAAAAAAAAATCCTCCCTGTGTGCTGCAACATATATGCATGACTGTAGACAAAAGCAAATCAATACACAATACAAGCAAATAATTTAATAGGAAATACTTCATTAAACTCTTTTTAGAATTTAACTACAGATATTATAAAAAACAAGTATAGAGGCAGATTCCATGTTAAAAACAGTAATATAGGTAAAAATCTTACTTGTCCTTTGGTTAAATGATAGAGTGCCAAAGTAGCAGCTAGATGTTGTGCTTGCATACTATCTTCTGTTACGATTGTAGGACACATTGCCATTACATCATCTGCTGATTTGGTAATCCTGACCCTTAAAGACAAATTCGTACAGGAATGTCTCTTAATTTTTCTTACCTATATAAATAGTACACCTGTTAATGTTTTTGTTTAAAACGTAAGGGTGAAATTCAATTGGAGAAACTAAGCTAAACTAACTTACTATTACTCAATAATGTTTTGTAAATGAAAACAGCCATTAAGTTTGAATAGCAGCAGATTCCAGCAGTGGATTTTCGGTGTTTTTTTTTTTCTCTTAACAAATGCCTTCATTTTCTTCAAAACAGAAGTATTTATATATGTACAGCTCTCCATTAAGGTTAGTTGCTTTGCAAGAAGGACTAAATACTTGTTTGTGGGCTTGTAACTATTCAGCATAGATTGAGATGACAGTTAACGATCTACTGAGATGTAAATATCTGTTTAACAAATGTATGCCAGTCAGACCAGCAGTCAAATTTCTCATATTCCTAAGGGGACGGTATATTAGTAGCTTTGCTTAGTTACAAACTTACAGTAGCTTTCATACAAGTTTTTAACTTCCACTTTATTTTAAACAATCCCCAAAGAATTTTTGGTATTCACATGCTTAAACCCAATGATTTAATATATTATTTTGAACAAGAATACCAGAAGTTAATTGTCCAAATTTATCTCATAGGTTTGCTTAAGAACCTTTCATTCAACAGTATAGAATTAAAAATTAATCCCTTCTTTACAGGATGATTCACCAGAATCCGATTTTTGCGATAGTGTCCAGTCTAAGCACTGGTTTTGCCAAGCTATCCAGAGTGAAATACTGCCCTGGTGGACTGAAAAAGAGAGTTTGGGTTAAACGCACTATATTCATATGAATCTGGATCAACGTGACAGGACAGAAGTAGACAGTGTTTTATTTTTAAATAAACCAAAAGGAAAACGTAAAGTTTACAGGAAATACATACCTACATTTCCAATATTTTCCAACTGGAATCTTTTCAAAAGCAGGATTTGGGCTCTTGGGAAAATTCTTCCTGCACCAGTCAATCAAAAATTGTTTCGGAGATTTACCAGTCCAGCTTCGAGCACTATAATCAAAATTTCTTACATCTAGCGGTTCTTTCTTTTTCACTAGAAGAGCAGAAAGACACATTTTAAGTCTCCTAAATTTATTTTACGCTCCTTTGACAGTCAAGAATGTTTTTACCTTTTCTTGAAATGCATTTTTACTAGAGAGCGGTATTTTCTGAAATGTTTTGCAGAAATACCAAAACTCATACACAACAGAAACTCCTGCTTTTCCCACAAAACTATCCAGCAGGAAATTAATTACTATTATTTGGTTTGCCATCTTTGGTCAGCCAATAATTTAAGAACTTTCACTGAAGTGTGGTTATTAGAAAATAATGTAACAGTTTGAAAGTTTACAATGAAAACAGTTTAAAAAGATGAGAGGGTGACAACAGAAACGGTAACTAGCCTCACAACATAAAAAAACGGAAAAAATATTTTAGACATGACAGGATGGCAAAAAAAAAAAGCCTTTCATGTCATTTGCTAAAATGAATACAGATCCCTTAAAGTCAGCTTGGTCAGTGAGGTAGTACACCTGCCTTTCCCACAGTCAGAGCTTGATGACTCTGCACTGCAACGCAATACAACCTAGAAAGACGACAACTAATACTGGAAACTTCTGGTATACTTCAGGCTTGTACTGAGCCATTTCCAACATACCTTTTTCTTCCTTTGCAGCACCATCGGGTTTTTCAAGCAAGCTCAAATTCAAGGTGGTTTCTTGAGGCTGAGGTGAGGGAGTTTTTTTCTTTTCACTTTGTGGTTGGTTTGAAATCTTTACAGCTGGATTAAATACTGGATGTTCTTCAAGTATTGCCATTTCTGTCAGAGAGAGAATACAACTTAAACCCACCAACTGCTGAGCATTTATTCTTTAAAAGCAAAAGAATCAATTACACTAATTCACACTGAGCACTCAAAAACAGAAGCAGTGAAACGTTACTGTCTTTTTCAAATTTGACCCAAGTGGAAAGGATAGATTCAGCAAGGCCTGCAATTCACACAATGGCATAAAACATTATGAAATCAATTAAACCTGACTCAGAGGCTTACTTGCCTAACACATACGCAGGCCAGAAAATAAAACACAGGTAATTTGCACAGCTCTACCTTGCTGAATTCTTCTTATTTTCTCCTGTGCTACCTTCTGGCCTTGCTTGTCTTTGTCTTGCTTGGAGATGCTTGCTTGTTCTTTTGCTTCTGAAAGCTTGGCAGCCAGATGTACATACCTCTCGTTCTATTTCAAACAGAACCATTAATTACAAGTGGAATACTGTATGCTCGTCACTTTTTTGTCCTTCACAACAAGTTTACCCTTGGTGTGTAGAGGACAAAGGAAGAACAATTAGTTTTTACATAACTAACAGTCAAAACCTCTCAGAATCTGATCGTTGCTTCCTAACCTCGCTGAGATGTGTTTCAAGAATTTTGCCTTTCCAGCACAATGCATTCAGTATTTTGAGCCCAGTACAAAAAAATAGGAAAGGAAAAACAATTTAGGAAAGGAAAAGGTTCAACACATTTCCCCTTCAGTAGCCTGCAAATGTAAAAATAGATAAAACACACAGATCCACCACTTGCAGATGCACCACACATCAGTTTTTGAAAGACTTCCATGAAGTGTTATTCTGTCTTACTGGATCAAACTTTTCTTCATCTGTCTCTTTCACAGACTCGTTCTTCTCTTCATCACTCTGTTGCTCGGCGTACCGCAAAATCCATTCCTTCATGCTCACTTCTCTCTCTTTCCCCACATTTGTCTCCTAGGAAGAGCAACGAAAATTAAAAGTAATTATAACAGTATGTGAAATCACCAATGCTTTTCTCTGTCAGTATTTGGGAACTATTGCTTAAGATTTTATATATAAACTAAGTTATATGACATGAAATAATTCAAGAAACATGGAGCAAACTTCTTCAATCAGGGTAAACATCTTACAATATACTTACATAGATCTTAACACTTGAATGATTACAACTGCTGTAAGAAAACAAACCACTTCTGCAAGATCTCTTTTCAATTTCTAGGTTTAAGATGCAGTAACCACAGAAATCAAGACACTGCCAATACACAGACAACCTTAAACCGACACAAGTAGGTAAAGAGTTCCATCTGTAAACAAACAGATCAAACCCATTCCAGGAGAGAATTAAGCTATGCTTTACCACAAAAATGAACGGTGAAGAGTCTTCTAAACTTTGCATGAAAAAAATGTTACCTTCAAACGATCTTTCCACTGACGTTAAAATAATGTGAGTGACAATTTTTAAACGTACTATATTTTCAGAAGTTTTTCACATCAGTGTTGGAAGCCAGTGCAAATTCTGTATTTTAGAAAACTTCATCCTCTCTTCTCCCCAGTAAATACAAACTAATTTCTCAGATTACCTTAGCTTCAGGGCCATTTTCTTTCTTTTTGTTATCTGCTAAGCGAGGTGGAGGTTCACGTTGTGACACAGGAGAACAAAATTTTGCTCTAGGTTTCTGCTGCTGTTCTTCCAACTGCTGGCTAAAACCTTCAGGCAAGGCATCTTCAAAATAAAAAACCCATGTCACAGAACATGTCAATAATAATTACCGAAAATCTTTTAAAGTGTGTTTGAAGCCAACTAGAAGAACATAAGACAAAACCAGCATGCCTGAAATAAAATTAGGCTTTAGCATTTAGATAAGCCAGCATCTGCTTGTTGGACTTCCATAAAGTTCTAAGAGCGGGAATAAGAGGTCTACAAGACTTTATACACTAAAAAAAATCCCAGAACCAGTCAGCAGCACATCTAGGAAAGGAACACTGTGATGACTATCGTTCTTAATGAATTAACAACGTATTTAATTAGTACTATGAAGCATTCTCATGTCAAAGCAGGTCCTACTACTCTTCAGTTAAAACTCTAGTCAATTCTCTGTCACCATACTTACCGTCAGGAAGGTTTAAACAAAGCCAGTCAAGTGCAGAGTGAAGATCACCACCATATAAAAGTGTATTCTTCATGGCTTCTTCAATGTGCTCAGTTTTAAAAGTGAATCTTTGCAAAGCCATGTATACATCCTATTCAGAAAACAGACAGAAAATATTAGGATTTAACCTAGCAATCTAATATAGGCTTGTAAACTCCTATTTGCCACATATCAGATAACTGGCATTAAATGGAGGTAAACAACATAAATTAATATACCAGAAGGCTGAGTAGAAAATCCTGTTTTGCATACAGAGCTTACAATATTTTTATTGTAAATATGTACATATATGTTTAAATAAAGCTATATTCCAGCCTCTGTACAGAACGTATTTTCTACTTAAAAAAATAAACCTACAATTTTCCAGCTATATGGAACGAAAAATGTAGGAAACATAAAACAATCAGATTAAGTTCTGTTCCTCCACCCTCTCTGAAGACTCCGATTCGAGTAACCAAATGCACAAAGACATATCTTTCCTAATAAACACACTTGTTGATTCCACTGAGTAATCAGTAACGTAACTACGGGAAAGCACGCTGCAGTGGCTTCTTCTGCATGTGGAAGCGTCATACAACAACATACAAACGACAAAGAAGAAACCACTTAGTCTAAATAAAGAATGGTCAGAGAACACTTTAAACTCTACCTGTAGCTTCTTAGCAGTAAGTCTTTTGGAAATCATTCCTTTGTCATCATTTTGGTTTTTATGGTCATTGATTACATCAATAATCCTTTTCTCCAAATTACCATTTATCATTACCTGCACAAAGAATAACAGTTGATACAAAGCAAAACATTACAAATTTTTATGACATCAATGCTCTTCATGGCTAAGGAAATAATGCAGAAGTCTCTCTGCCATTCAAAGCCCAACTTTTCCAGCTTTCTGTAAGTGCGGTAAACACTTCTGAAGAAAGGGACACTTTTTTTCCATTTACTTTTGCAAGCGATATGCTTTTACTTGAAATATAAGAGTTCATTCTTTATTACAGAGAAGGCCCACTTACATCTTCAAGGAAATTTAGTATGTCAAAGGAAACACTGTGAGGAAATTAAAAAAAAATTACACCAGAAAGAACAAGGCCTTTCTCCTCTGCTCACAAGAAGTGGTATAAAGTAATTTGATCATCAAGACACAATCTTGCACTCTCTTTCCTACCCAGCTTTAAAAGACAGTTTTGGTAAAATAATAATTTTAGCATTTTAACACTTCTAAAAGATGAACCAAGCTTCAGCTGCTACTGAGGTTGTTATATTCTTCCTCTGACAGAAAGAAGAATCCATATGCACAGCAGAAGCCTAAACATAACTCTTAATAGTCCTACATGCAATGTACCGTTTATTACTTTAAAAATGTAGATGTTCTTCTGTCCTGTTAGTTTACCTCTATTTCTTAAAGCACGCTCAAAATCCTGAACATACTAAGTTCAAGACAGTCAATGTCTAATACATGATTGTAGTTTACCTGCATAACATGATACTGAAGAAATATTTACTCAGCTAAAGAGTACTATGAAAACCAAAGTCATTTTACCTAAAGAAGATACTCACCTTAAGAACAGATTTATCTAGATTTGCAGCAGCACTGGAATCTGTTGTTGAACTAAAACTGTAAGTTTTTGGACCTGCAAATTGCAAATAACCATCGATTATATAAGCAGAACATGGAGAACACTGTTTACAGTAGCTAAAGCAGACCCAACATAACACAGGTTAGTTCAAACAAATATTATACTAATTCATCAGAAACGTACAGGTACATGACAACAGTAAGAATAATCAATGGCACAGAAAGGCCTTTGAATAAGGAATAGCAAAGAAGGTTATGACTCTTCGGAGACAAAAAGTAAAATCCCAAGCTGCGCAATGAAAGGAAACAGGACTGACTGCTCACTCTCTCTCAACACTGGAACAAGGACTGCCAAACAGGTAAGCTAATGGTGAGTTCAAAACAAGCAAGACTGTTGAGGTTTTTTTAATTACTAAGTGCATAACTATGCAACAAAACTCAGCCACTAAAGCTGTGGATATTGGACGTTTACCAAGGTCAAAGGGCAGACAGGATAGCTTTGTAGAAAAGAAATCAATCCATTTAGGAGGGCATTGAAAAAACACTGCACACGGCTCACGCAGACCCTAAGCCACAACTGGTGGAGGATGTAAGAGTACCCTACAGCAGTACCACTGCATGTCCAACCTATTCTTACCTAGGTACCTGCTGTTGGCCCCTATCTAGGAGAGGGCACTAGGTTACAGAGGCCTTTGGTCTGATCTGCTATGGTTATACTTAAATACTTTTCATTTAGCAGCTGTCAGAGAAATACTAATTCACAAAGCTATTTATCATCACCAGAAGGACAACACACAGCTTACTGTTAGATTCCATTGTTTTCAGCACACACATACTGCTACTGGTGCTTTACAGGCATAAAGAAACTGAGCAAACTCACAGCTTTTACCACCTTGTGAGGCTGCCTGCCACCCCAAAGGCACAGCTACCTCTCAGCTCCTCAGCCTGCCAGCAGGCAGGTTGGACAGCTTGTCTGTGCTGGGCTGCCTGCAGAGAGGCTCTAGGAGAGTCCACTTTTAGAGCAGGATTGGGTAAAGGTAATCGTATTTCAGAAAAAAAAAAAACACCAACCCTGTCAGCTCTGGTCAGGAGCTACAAAGAGCAGTTAGCACTCACGAGCTAATCACTGTCATTTACTGGTAGGCTGTGAAACTATGCAGTATTTAAACTACACTAACTTTTAACTTACACTGACTTATTTTTCACCACAGCAGACAACCTGGGAGAGAAGCAGGATAGTTTCTGAAGAGGACTGAGCACCATGGTGTTGGAGGAGTAGGAGACACAAGAAATATGTTTAGCAGAGCCCAAATTTGTAAAAGCAGTGTAAATGAATTACTGGTGTTACGTTCAGCGTTAAGAAATACTAGTTGTCTAGTTTAAATCAACAAGTTTTAAATAAAATGAATGGCTCAGAGTCCATTATTTAGCATTAGGATGCCGGGGTATACATTACAGGATATACTGGGTGTTTAGCATTACTAACTTAGCATGAGTACCTAGAGTTGCGGGAGCCTTACATCCGAAGCTGTGAACTTTTACTTAACTACGCTTTCAGCTGATACAGTGCTGTGTTTTGGATTTAGTGTGAGAATAATGTCAATAACACTGATGTTTCGGTTGTTGCTAAATAGTGTTTAACCTAAGTTTAGGACTTTTTCAGTGTTTTAGATATTCTGCTGCTGCCAGGTACACAAGAAGGTCAGCAGAATAATCGTCAGCAGAAGCTGCGACTTGGCAACACAAGAACAGCAAACAGCCTGCCTGAGACAGCGCAATAAACCAATAAAGTGTTAGCAGATCCCAGACCAGAACTCACCATTGGACCAAAAGAGCACGAGGAGCAGCACATAAGGGGTGGGTGCATAGGTGTAAGGGTATAATTGTCCAGGGATTTCTTTGTTCAGGGTCCCCTCCCGGAGGCATCCAGCTTGAGCTGACTCTACTGTTATACTGTCCTATTAAATTATTTATTTTAATAAAACCTGATTCCTGAAAGTCTGCTATGGGAAATCCAGGGTAAAACCTGAAGGATGAGAAACTGCCTGAGAGGAAGGAGTCAAAAGGGACATGTATCAGCTCACTGGAGTCACCTACTGCAACAGGACTCTGGTCCTAGCAGATGAAGTCTTGAGTGGTGCAAATGCTTGGGTAGTGGCTTCTCTTTCAACATCAGGAAGTTTATGTTAATGGACTGCAGGACAAGTTGGAACCACAAAAGACCTGGCCATTGTATGATTTGCTTATCGTCTGCCACACCAGGTCCTGTTGACGTTATATCTGAACCACATCTGGCAAAGCTGGTACACTGAAAACAGACATCTTGTAGTGCTACAGAATACTAGTTTTTCAGACTGCACCCAGAACAGCCATCCTTCAGCTCACCCAATACTGCTGAAGTGCCTCTAGACTTTTTTAATAACACAAAACCCCACAAACTCACATTATATTGGCTTTGAGTACATACGGAACAAACAGCTTAAAAAGAAGCTCGTTGCTGGGAAAGTGCCACACCAGTACATCCTCCACAAGAAGTGCCGACAATCAGATCTTTTGTAACTAACTGAACACACCAATGCCAACAAGGCTCATCTGCTCAAGGACACTCCAGGAAGTGACATGGGCTGAAGCCAGGCCCGACCAGCCCCGCGTCAGAAGGACTTAAGGCACCTCTCTCGACGCTCAGTAACGCCAAGCCTTTCAGTAGGCCTTTTCCCGTGACGCCGCGGCCCTCAGGCCCGCCCCCGGGGGCTCCCTAAGGAAG